CTAAACTAAGCTAAGCTAAACTAAGCCAAGCTAAGCTAAGTTAAGCCAAGCTTAGCTAATACGAAACAGTAAAGCTAAGCTAAGCTAAGCGAAGCTAAGCTCAGCTAAACTGAGCTAGGCTAAGCTAAGCTAAGCTAGGCCCGGCTAGGCAACACTAAACTAAGCTAAGCTAAGCTAAGCAAGCTAAGATGATATAGGCTAAGCTACACTAAGCTAAGCTGAGCTAAGCTAAGCTAAGATGAGCTAAGCTAGGCTAGGCAAAGCTCAGCTAAGCTAAGCTAAGCTAAACTGAGATAAGCTAAGCTAAGCTTAGCTTGGCTTAGCTTAGCTAAGCTGGGTGAACCCAGGGGGCGCAATTGGAGGAACCGCAGGGCGGATCCTGGGGGAACCGCCCGGGGCGGGTTGCACTGCCCGGCCTCTTTAAGCAAACAGGGTAAGAACCCGTCTAGGCAGAGCCTAGGTAGGGAATACACCTGAGCTAAGATGAAGCTAAGCTAAGCTAAGATGAAATCAGATAAGCTAAGATGAGATAAGCAACCCTAAGCTAAGGGAACGTCGCTGGGGGAACCGCGGGGCGGATGCCGGGGGAACCGCCCAGGGCGAGGAACACTGCCCTGCCATTTAAGCAAACCGAGTAAGAACCCTTCTAGGCAGAGCCTAGGTAGGGAAAAGCGCAAAGGAAAACACACCGCCTCGTTGCCGACGCAGACGCGCCGAAAGACATCACCAATCAAGGAACCCACGAAAAAAACACACCGTGCCGTCTGGACCCACTGGGGCGGTGGGTGGGTCGGGTCCTGGCCGTCCATACAGTAGTGACCGTGGGCATCGAATGGGGGCGATCGATGCTCCTGCTCCAGCCAGAACAAAACAGGTCGAACCATGAAGTAGGACGGCGTTGGAAGAAGATTGGATTTCCGCCCGCCCCCTGAAGAGGAAGGAGAAGGTGAACCCACTCGATCGTTGAAGTAGGCAGGCGCCTCAGGGAGACTGGGATCCGAACATCCAGGCATACTTACTTTCAACGACCGACGGGTCTGCGATTGCTGTGTTTTTTGCTGCCCCAGGCCTCGAGAGCGCGCCCACGCCAGTAGCGTGGGGACGCCGGCGGGGGGCCAGCAACATCGCGCGCTAGGCGCAGAGACAGAGCGGCGGCGCACGCAGGGATGGAGGCGGAGGCAACGTTGGGGAGGCAGCACGCTGGGCACCGAAGTCGACAGCGTGAATGCTGGTCGCCTGCCGCCAGCGGGGCAAACCTCAGGACTCGCAAGTGGCAACTGCCATCTCCTAGCTCGGTGCCGATCGGTGCCGACGCTCAAAACTGGCCACGCCGAACGCGCTCGGCGCGCCCACCCACAGGACAATAAAACAAAAAGACATGAGACAATTCGGGAGCAGCCAGCGCCCCCTCGCGAGCGAGCAGAGACTATCGGGGAAAGGAAGGGCCACCCGGCTGCGCTGCGTCTACCACCCACCGCCGCCGCCGCCCCAGCCGCCACCGCCACCCTTGCCGCCACCCTTGCCGCCGCCACCACCCCAGCCGCCACCTCCGCCGCCGCCATCGCCACCGCCTGTCTTCCAGGGACCGGAGCAGGATGCTGCCGAGTACTTGCCCTTGCGGTCGTCCCACTCCACCTCGTACGTGACGGCGTCGCCCTCCTCGAGATACGCGGTGCGATCTTGACCGTTCACCTTGCGGTGCACGAACACGTCCTCGCCACCACCATCAGGCGTTATGAAGCCGAAGCCCTTGTCCTCGAAGAACTTCTTGATGGTCCCCGTCGGCATGACTGCGCAGGCTGGCGGGCCGAAACGACTCGGTCTTGCCCCGATGTGGGTGGCCTCGGTCAGAGTGGCTTCGGCTAAGGCTGCTCGGCCCGAGGCAACGTTAAGGAAGCAACGTTAGGGGGTTCGAGGTTCGAGGTCTCCTTACGTTCTCGTCGGTTCTCGGTGGCTCTCCAGCCTCGGGATGCGTTCCAGCAGCTGCGCCTCGTCGTGGGCGTTCCGGGCGTGCCCGAATCATCCAAGACCGTCGTCGGAGACCTTATTCATGACCCAGGAACAATGGAGGAACGCTAGGGGTGGACTGGCTCAGGGGGAGGGGTGAACATCGACAATCGGCGACGGCTCGGCGATGAGCCCCCGACCACGTTGGGGGCCTGTCGCGATTGGAGGTCGATGCGTTCCCCCCTGAGGTCCACCGCCCCCTGGCACTGCGGCAGATGTAGAAGAAGAAACGAAACAACAAATGCATACACATGAACAGTCGGAGATCCGCGCGGATCTCTTGGGATCGGCGCTGTACACCCCCTCCGTGGCGCGCGCGGCTGCTCGCCCATCGCTCTCATCCAAGACTGCGGGGAGCTCAGGGTACAAGAAAACCAAGAATAATGTCATGATGCGATGATTTGCATTCCGTCGGGTCCTGCGGCGTTACTGTGTCCCTCGGTGCCTCCGCGTCGCTCTGTCGTTCGGAATTCAATCTTGAACGGCGTCGCCGGAGCGCCATCGCCGCATGAACCTACCGTACAGGAACAGACAATGACATAAGCATAACAAATCTGAGGGCCGCGAGGATTCCTCGGATCGGCGCTGGACCCCCCTCACTCCTCACTGTGCCTCCGGCGCCGCCCCTGGCGCGCCTCTCGCGCCAGGAAGGGGGGGTTGAGCGCAGATCCGAGAAATCAGCGCAGATCTCCAACCAGCTGATGTGTATGTAATTGTCTGCTCCCCTAGGGCGACGTGATAACCAAGACCGACCCACAAGCGATGCGGACAAGTTGGACCTCCTGGAGACACCGACCAGGGAAAGTACAGCAAGTCCGTGTGATAACGACCCCGGCGCTGGTTTCTGAAACAGCGTGGATCATTCAACCTTAAAGGATCGTCGGCTTCTCGATCGCCAAACCATTCCGGACATGGGAGCCGCCGATCTAAACACCAAAGTGTGCGGGCCCTCGCGCGAAGCATCGTGCACATACTCAGCCTCACGCTCGCGAACCTACCGCGAATAATGTCCACTCTGCTGTGCGCGGTGGCGGTCGCGAACAGTTTCACGGTCGTGTTCCTGTGCCCAGATACTGGCCGATTCTTGACCACCAGTGGCGTTCACCCTTGAACGCCCGCGCTGGGGTCGGAGCCGCGTCGACACGACACGAACTTTCCGCGCGGCACGGGCGCGCCAGGGACGCCGCCTGGGGACCACAGGGACTTGCGAGGCAGCGAGAAGAAGCTCGGTATATCGACGCCCCAGCTGCCAAACCTGTGGGCCGCTGGAGCAGCGTCCATACGTCGAATTCCTTCGCCGAGCTCACAGACGCCTCCCGAATGGGGTCCGAGTAGATGGAGCCGGGGGATCGCGCCGCATCGCCGATGTTTTGATACCGCCGGCTTGGAGAAAATCTTTCGCCACATCGAGCCGCATCGCCGATGCATCGGCAATTTTGCGCGATCCCCCCGCCCCATCCAGTCGAACCCCATCTGGGGGGCCTGCACTTCCTTGGCTCCCTAGCCGACCAGACGACGTGGCGTGTGCACCGAGCCCCTCGGAGGGCTGGGAGAGCGGGGCGGCACGATGGCGGCCCCAGAGCGGCGCCGCTGGCGTCCCCGTCCAACCCCAATATCGGACAAAGTCGTTTTTGCTGAAGCCTGAGCGCTTTTTCTCGATCTCGGCATCCTGGGGCTCCCGGGGCCGTCCAAAACAGGTCCTGGGCGGGAAAATCGGCCGTGGGGAAGGGATCGGGACCTCTGGGGCCGCGATGAAGGAATCGAATGAACCAGCGCGACCCCAATTAGGGGGAAGCTGCCTACTGCATGGGCGCATCGCTTGGTGTTGCTTGGCGTAGTGCGTAGCATCGTATGACTTCGGATTACGTGGCATTGCTTGGCATTGCTTGGCAGTGTTTGGCGTTGCTTGTTGCTGTGGCATTGCTTCGCGTGAGGTGGCATTTCGTGGCATTGCGTCGCGAGGCAGCAAGGAATCAAGACAAGGAGCCGAGGAGCCAAGACCAAGGAACCGAGGAGCCAAGCCCAAGGAACCAAGGAACCAAGACCAAGGAGCCGAGGAAGCAAGACCGAGGAACGGGCACCAAGGATCCAAAGGACCAAGGAACCAAGACCAAGGAACCAAGGGCACAAGACCAAGGATCAGATGAGCCAAGAACACGGAGCCAAGGACCCAATACCAAGGAACCAAGATACCCAGACGAAGGAACCCGAGGAAGGCAGCATGGAGCCACGAACAAGGACACAGGGAAAACAACAACAAACAATCCGATAAAGGGCACTGTAGGGAAACAAAGCCAAGGAACCCAGAGGAACGCCACTGGCAGGAAACGACACCTAAAGGAACCCCGACGAGCGCCACCGCAGGAAAACACGACAACGACACCCCTGGCGAACCCACCGTGAGGAAACAACATCAAGGACCCCCGGGCAACCTTGGCTTACCAGCCTGGAACATATCACTATCCCTATGCTGGGCATCTCCTCATCACGATGCCAATCTTAGGGATTCCCTTATTTTTTGAGGGCGCATCCCTAAGATTGTCGTCGCTTTTTGGCATGTCGATCCTAGGGATAGGGATATGTTCGAGGCTGGCAATACCCACATCGATTCCAGGACCTCTCGGGCACAGCCTGAGCGGGCAATCGCCCCAAGCCTCGAAGTGCGGCGGAGGACTGCACGCTTCGACGCCCCACCGTCCGCTGCGCCCGTGGGCTCTCACGAGGCCTGCCGTCGGCCCACGCGGCCTGCAAAATCGTTCGGACACCCGACGCGGGTCGGCGCGGCGAGCCCACGCTGCTTCCGCCTGCAGTGCCTCACATTGACGAACAGAAAGCCACATACACACAAACGTTTGGAGGTCCGCGCGGTTGTCTTGGATCCGCGCCAGGGGGGTGGGCCCGGCGCGGATCCAAGAAATCCGCGCGGAGCGCCAAGCATTTCTGTTTATGCAGCTCTGTTCGTTTTCGAACTCCACTCTAATTGCTGCTTCCACCCCTCCTGGGCGGCCCGTTCGTCTTCTCGTTTTGTTGGCGCGCGCTTGCCAGGCCACCCGGCAGAGCTCTTGCCGCCTCCGCCACCGCCGGGGAGAAGGCTCCCCGGCCTCCCAACTGATGGGAATGGGGACTCCACGGCGCTCGTTCCGGCCTCGCTGCCTGAGCAGGGAGTGCGCACCCCGGGCTGGGCAGCGCCAAGGGAGGAGGCGGCGGCGGAGGACGGGAAAGAGACCTCGGCGGCCGCTTATGGGCGCCGGGCCCCTGGTGCGGATGCAGCCCCCCTCCGTCGTTATCGCTGCCGCGGCGCTGCAGGGGTGTCTGGGTGCCTCCCTCCCCCCCCCCCCGAGGCAGCATCGCGCGCGGGCGGCGCTAGCTTTCTGTGGTCTCGCCGTGGCAGAAGCCGTTTTCTCTCGCTGTGGCAGAATCCGTCCGCGCCCACGCAATGGGGCGCCAGGGGCGTGCAGGGAGTCCTGGACGCCCGGAAGCGGCACGCACCAAAAAGAGGCACGAGGCGCAATGAGTGTGGTCCCAAACCGACAGCGGCCCGCTGTCGGGCAGGCGAGCCTGTGCCTCACGTGGCTGACGCCCGCGGCGACACGGTGTCCGACACAGACGGCGACTCCGGGTGCAACGTGGACGGCACCTGCGGTCGGTCTTCGTCACCATCCTCTCCCGCACCCGGCTCCGGGCGCCGCGCCCGGGCTGGCAGCCAGAGGGGTCGCGGGCCTCCGCAGACAGCTCGGAAGGCCTCCCAGAAGACGGGGGCGGCTTCTCGGCGGGCCGAAGGCCCTCCGAGAAGCCCCGCCGCCCTCTGAGGAGACCTGCCCCCCCTCGCGTCCCCCCCTGGGGGCGCGCCGCCGACGCCGGTCTTCGTCGCGCCCCTGCCGCGCCCATCTCGGTCGTGCCGAGGCGCGCCATCGGCCTCGCGTCGCCCGCCGGGTGCTCCGCGGGCTCCGTGTTCGGAGGAGGGCCGCGGCCTCCTCCGAACACGGGCGCCCTCCCCTGGCCGGGCCCTCGCAGGAGAGAGAGAGCCCGAGGCCCCCGCAGGACCGCCAGAGCGGCCTTCGGCGGCCAAGACGAGGAGCCAGGACGAGGAGAAAACTCGGGCGAGGGCACATCGAGAAGCTCTGAGGCCCCGCGGCTCTGGAGGGTCGGGTGCCGCGGCGTTCCCAGAGCATTCTTGGATCGCTCCCGAAGCTTCCTGGACCGCTCTGGCACGGACTCCTCCTCGTCCTGACCCCGCCCGAGACATGTGCGATAACAATGCCTTCTCTTGGAACGTCGCCAAAACACAGGGCTACGCAACAGAGTACAGCAATCCGGAAAAATCAGTCTGTCCGTCCCCGACTCGCTCCCCCCTGGGGGGTCGTGCCAGAGCAGGAGTCTGGCGGCGGTGTGGCGAAGCCCGTGCATTTTTACCAAGCGGAGGCTGTACCGTTGCTGGTACAGCGAGCCCGCGCCGAACACTCACACAAACTGTACAACCCTACGAGCTGTCGTACCTTATCGGCCGATCTACAAAACGGTATGAGCCATCGGTGCCTCAAACGGCATTCCAAAGCCTCACTTCTGAGTCATCGCTCAATTCCAGCCTTAGGGTCTGTGAAAACAGCCCCCAGGTGGAAAAACGAATTCACTCGCATGCAACAGGCTTCCGTTCAAAAGAACGTGGAAATAGAACATGCACAACGTATCTTACACTAAGGATGCAACTACACGCCGAATTCCCCAAGCGTGGCGTTGCGCTGGCCTGTATGGCATAACCTGAAACCTCCACGCGCGCTAAGGTCAACTAAAAGCCCCATAATCCGATCAATACGGATCGAAAAAAGAGAACTATGCTCACACACACACACACACACACACACACACACACACACACACACACACACACACACGCACACCGATCCAACCCAGGTCCGTCATGGGCCATGGGCCTAGGACCGGTGCGTAGGCCATCCGGGCTTGGCCTGGGAAGTATGTACACCGATCCTTGACCCAGGATGGGCCCAGTGGGAATCGGTGTGTCTCAGTGTGCTATGTTTGTGCTCGTGTTCGTGTTTGTGCTTGTGTGTGTGTGTGTTTGTGTGTGCATGGTTCTCTTCGCCCGAACGGAGAGGCAGCGCGCGTGGGTGCCTGCAGAGACCGGCTGACACCCAGCAGAGACTGGGCAAGCGCAGCAGTCACGAGGACGGCCGCCGGCCGGTCCCGAAGTGAGGGCCAGAGGCAGGGGGGCCAGCTCGGGGGGGAAACATCTACCTGGAAGCGGCGGCCACACATCGCCGACTGATCGGCGATAGGCACCTGATGGCAACTCCGCAAGCTCCTGGGCGGGGTTTGGGCTACCAAACCCCTATCGGCGATCCGTGGGCGAGTGGGGGTCGATGCGCTCCCTTTGTGGGCCCCGGAAACGGCAGGGCCGTTTTGTCACCGTTAAAAATGGAAACGGCAAAAAAAATCTACGGGAAACGGCAAAAAAACAGCCAGGATTGGAGCCGGAGCCGGAACCGGTCAAAAAACGTCGACGGAACCGGTAAAATAACGGCGTCGGAACCGGCAAAACAACGGCAGAACGGAACCGGTAAAAAAGCGGCGCGGTCGTTTCCAGGGCCCACTAAGTGCGCTCCCCCCTGAGCCCTCTCGGCGATCCGAGGGCGATTGGGGGTCGATGCGCTCCTCCTCCTCCTCCTCCTCCTCCTCCTCCTCCTCCTCCTCCTCCTCCTCCTCCTCCTCCTCCTCCCCATTGAGCCTGCTCCACCCCTACCACTGCCTCTGCCGACGGAGTGAGACCGACTGCGCCGAGAGCCTCGCTGCCCACGGCTCAGTCCTCGTACGTCTCGGGGGCCACCGCCTGCGGGCAGGAGAACGAACAGTTGTTTGCGCTGCTGCTGGGGGAGGAGGAGGAGGAGGAGGAGGAGGAGGAGGAGGAGGAGGAGGAGGAGGAGGAGGAGGAGGAGGAGGAGGAGGAGAAGGAGGACGAGGAGGAGGCGGAGGCGGAGGAGGAGGAGGAGGAGGCGGAGGAGGAGGAGGAGGAGGAGGCGATCGAAACGGATCGGCAGCCGAGCCGGGAGAAGCTGAATCGGCGGAGATCGGCATGCGAGTGGGCCTCCATGGAGGAGAATCGGAGCCCACATCGGGATCATCCCGAGCCGGACCGCCTCGGCATCGGAAAAGCCAGCGGCCTCGAAGCGAATCGGAGCGGAGGCACCGCGACGAGCCCTGCTGCGGGTGCGCGGTCCCTCCGCCCTGCGCTGGCGGCGCGAGCAGGGCCCCCCCCCTCTCACAGTGAGGGGGGGTGCTGCTCGAGCCCCTGCCCCCCCCCCCCGAGCTCGAGCCGCCGCACCACGGCGGCGCAACACTTGCGTGGGCCGGCCGGTGCGCCGAGGAGGGGGGGATACAGTCGGGGCGCTGACCTAAGGAACCCCAAATAAGGAACGAGGCCCCTTTTTTTCATGAGTTGAACTTCGATTTCCCATCGAAAACACAAGGAACACCTGAGGCAAGCTGCGAAACACTTCAGGAACGCGGAGCCCCTCCCCAGCGAAAAGGGCTCCTTCCTCAGGGCCCCGACTGTGGTCTCAGGTCGGGCATGTCCCCCTACGGGCGGCCCCAGACATCGGGCGTCTCGAAAAAATCGAGGCGGAGGTTTGTCGTCGTCCTCCTCCTCCTCCTTCTCCTCCTCCTCCTCCTCCTCCTGCTCCTCCTGCTCCTCCTGCTCCTCCTCCTCCTCCTCCTCCTCCTCCTCCTCCTCCTCCTCCTCCGCCCTCCTCCTCCTCCTCCTCCTCCTCCTCCTCCTCCTCCTCCTCATCCTCCTCCTCCTCCTCCGTCTGGGGATCGTGGGCGAAGAACGAAACATGATCAAACAATGCCCAGGTGGGGCCAAAGCAGCAGTCGACACATCGTCCCCTATCCCATGTGTGGACTGTCTTTGGCTGTTCCTCCTGTAGAGGAACACGCCCGACTCAGGGATAGTGAGAGGGGGCAGGTCCTCTCAGAGGCGGCGGGACTCCTCAGAAGCCCACCAGCCTCCTGAGCCCTCAACGTCTTGAGAATAATAGCTATAGGCTATACGCATAAACTTTTGGCGCTCCGCGCGGGTTTCTTGGACCCGCGCTGGCCCCCCCCCCCGAAAGTTTATGTTCATGGCGGTAATTCCTCTTCGATGTCTGAGAAGCCCTCAGCGCCCTGGGAGAAGGCTCAGGAAGCCCCCCAGAGGCCAGGGGCATCTCCTGGGCCTTCTGGGAAGGCCCACCACCCTCTGCCTTCATCCCTCTGGCTGCGCCCTCGCACGTAGCTCGGTCTCGAGTCAGCTTCTTGCTCCTGGTGCCTCGGGTGCGCCCCGAGGGCCCCATGCAGGAGGAAGAGGAGGAGGAGGAGGAAGAGGAGGAGGAGGAGGAGGAGGAGGAGGAGGAGGAGAAGGAGGAGGAGGAGGAGTAGGGGGAGGAGGAGGAGGAGGAGGAGGAGGAGGAGGAGGAGGAGGAGGAGGAGGGGAGGGCGAGGAGGAGGAGAAGGAGGAGAGGAGGAGAAGGAGGAGGAGGAGCGCCCCGAGGGCCTCTATGCAGTGAGGACCTCCAGCCGGCGTGGCAGGCGAGCGGGGAGCGCGGCGGGTGGGCGACGGGGGACACCGCAGCGGGCGGACGGGCCTGCGAGGACTTGAGGGGCATGGGGCCTCGCGCAGGCCGAGCTCGCTCTTCTCGTGACGCAATACAGTCGGGGCGTTGACCTAAGGAACCCCGACCCTGCCGGCGTGTGCGAGGGGCTTGGCTGTTCGAGTCGTCGTCTCCGTCGGTCGTCGCCTCCGTCGTCCCCTTTCGCTGCAGCTTCCTTCTCAAGCTCGTGAGCGAGAGAAAAATCGAGCAGTATCGTAATCGAGTCGAAGGGAAGCCCCTTCCCTTTGCTTTGATCCCTTCCCCGGGGGGGGGGGGTCCCGGGGGGGGTGGAGGGGGGGTCCCGAGGGGGGTCCTGGGGGGGGGTCCCGGGGGGGGTGGGGGGGCAGATTCGTTTTTCCTCGGGCAGCCTAGAAACATCGAAAACACTCCAAATGAGGTCCGAATGCCCCAGATGGCTCCCGAGACAGCCCCAGAGGGCCCCGAGTCGCCCAAAGATCGGCCGAAAACGCCCAAGATAGCCCCAAGACCGTCCAAGAAGCCTCCAAGACGTCCCAGGGCCCCTCCAAGAGACCCCCAGGAAGCCCCAAGAGGCCCCCACGAGGCTTCCAAGCGGCCCCTAAGAGCTTCCCAAGAGGCCCACAAACTACCCCCAAGAGGCCCCCAAGAGCGCTCGTCGTCGTCGTCGTCATCGTCGTCGTCGTCGTCGTCGTCGTCGTCGTCGTCGTCGTCGTCGTCGTCGTCGTCGCCATTCAGGGTCGGCGGCACCGGCCGTAAGGCTTTCGCAATAAGGAACGAGGCCCCATTTTTCCACAAGTAAACCTTCGATTTCATATCGAAAACATAAGGAAAACCTGAGGCAAGCTGCGAAACACTCAAGGAACACGGAGCCCCTCCCCAACGAAAAGGGTTCCTTCTTCAGGGCCCCGACTGTATAACCAACACTGGTGCCAATAAATCTTCGCCGTCGCCGGTTCCTGATCAGCGCCCTCGTCATCATCAGCCACTGCGCTCTATCCCGCGCCAGAGTGTCGCTATGCACGGTGTGCGCTGCGCGTGCAACGTGTCGCACTTACGCCCGTCGTCTACACTCCGTGGGCGTAGGAAGCTCAGCTCGTCCACCGGTTGGGGTGCTCTCTGCTACCAGCTGTTCCGCCTGCGGTGCTCCTGCCATCTGCAGCATCCACCACGGTGCCTCTGGACACGGAGTGGACGTGTTCTCAGGTCCTGTGCCCAATCCCCAGTGCGGGCAATACTTGTATCCCTATCCAGTGCGTCTTAACCTTTCTTGGAAGGGGCGCCGCATGCCCGAGGAACACTGGATATGGATAAAGTCTAGCCTCTGGGGGCCAGATTTGAATCCATATCCAGTGCGCCTCATGTTTTTGGGGAAGAGAGTCCGAAACTCCAAGACGCACTGGATGTGGATATAGACATTGCCCAATCCCCAGGGCCGCAGTCCCCAGCTTTGAGGAGTCCGTCAGGAGCCCGAACCGTGTCGCGTGCCCCCCTGGACTCTGGCGCGCCTCCCCGCGCGACTCTTCGAGGGCCCACGAGGGCCCGCAGACGGGCCAAGGGGGCCCTGGCAGGCCCCCAAGGCGGTCCAAGAGGGCCCCGGGTCGCCGAAAGATCGCTCCCAGGTGCCCAAGATGGACTCAAGATGACCCAGGAGGCCTCCAAGACGCCCCAAGAGGCCTCCAAGAGGCCCCCCAAGAGGGGCCCCAAGAGGCAACATGATTTGTTCATGACGTCGACCCCCAGAAGTATCGACCCCTTCCCCGGGACCGGCTTCTCATCCTGAGTCGTTTTTTTTTGACAGCCCCGGGGCCAGGCAGGAGCCCCCAGCTGCCGATAGTTGCGAAAAAAACCTCCCGTCGTGCTATTTCCATGCCTCGAAGGGGGGGTTAGGTCGCGCACCGCTCCTCCTCCCTCCCAGCGGGAGCCCCGCACACGAGGACGCCGCCCCCTGGGCTCTGGGGCCACACCTGGGCGCTCCGGGGGGGGGCCTAGAGCTTGACGCCAACAGCAGTGTCGGCAGCGTGCCTCCACCGAGAGAAGGTACTCCCGATCTCGGCCCAATGGTGATAATACGCACTCTGGCGTCCTATGTGGCCGAAGTGTTACAGTCGGGGCGTTGACCTAAGGAACCCTAAATAAGGAACGAGGCCCCTTTCTACCATAAATTTAACTTCGAATTCCTATCGGAAATATACGGAAAACCTGAGGCAAGCTGTGAAACACTGAAGGAACGCGGAGCCCCTCCCCAACGAAAAGGGTTCCTTCTTCAGGGCCCCGACTGAACCACCAACCAGGGCTGGACCTAAACGTTGTTGCTCGTTCTCGTGTTCGTCCTGTTGTTCGTTTCGCTCGACCTGTTCTCCCGCACTTCCCCGCCAGAGCGAAACAACAAAACACGGCCGAAGCCCAGCACAACAGCGTTCAGGCCCAGCCCCGCCACCAGCACCGGATTCTGGGATCATCCTCCCCCGGGTGGATCGGGCAGGGCGAAAAGGGGGGATAGCAAAGGGGGGGGGTGAGAATCAGCTCACGTAGCAGAGTTTCCCAGCGCCTTCCATCGCCAGGAGGCGCCCATGCATCGAGGAATGGGACCAGCGGCGGGGCCGAAGCCAGCTGCATGCAACCGACTTCGTAGCCCCCCCTTTCCCAATCCCCCCATTTCGTCCGGCCCGAGTGGAGGGGCATGCCCTTGGGCTGGTGCAGGTGCCCCGTTCCAGGCCGCCCTTCCGGTCGAGCGCGCCCTCGTTGCGGCGGCCCCGGCGAGGCGCCGCTGCCAGGAGGCACCCCGAGGCCGGGGACCCGCCGAGGACGGGGCCGACGGACACGTCCGCGAAACTCGAACCTCGAACCTCGAGCCCAGGGGACATAGGAGGACATACTATTGCTATGTGGCCGAACCGACCGTCCCGGCACTGCTGTAGGCCTGCCACGACATGCTCCCAGAGCCCAAGAATGTTCTAAGAACAAAACAGCGCTCTTGGAACGTACACCCGACGTGCGAAAAGAAGACAGACACGGCCAGAAAGGTTCTTCGAACATTTCGCGCTAGCCACAACAAGTTCTTAGAACACTCTCTGGTGGACCTGTAGGCGAGCCAAGACCCTTCGCCACAGCTTGAACTTCGGAAGCCCTGAACCAAAAACCGTTCTAACGTCTTGGGGGCGCTGACTTCCGCAGCGCTCCGCCAGCCTTCCGCCGGCTTCCCCCGGCGGAGGCGGACTCGTTGTACTTCCGCCGACCTTCCGCCGCCTTCCGCCGCGGGCGAGCCGACAGCTCCGCCTATCCTCGAAGGCCAGGCCCTGTCTGGAGCGCCCCATGTGCTTCTGTCGGGGAGGCGCCCGCCCAGACCGAGCGTATGGTGCAACACATCTGCGCCTCGCCTCCGAGACCGGCACGTGTGGCCAGACAGCGCCCGCCGCGAGTCGAGTATTGGAAGACGTCTTTTTGAGCAGGGACCGACCGTCCCGGCATTCCTATAGTCCTACCGCGACATGTTCTTAGAACACCAAAAAGTTCTGAGAACAGAAACAATGTTCTTATAACATTCAGCCGATGTGTTAAACCAAGACGGTCCCCGCCAGAAAGGTTGTGAGAACATCGCGTGGAGACCACAAAAGGTTCTTAGAACAATATTTTGGTGGGGCTATAGGCAAGCCAGGACGCTTCGCCACTGCTTGAGTCTTAGCGCATGCCGCCCCTTTGTGAAAGGGGCCCTGGGACACACAAATAAATAGACACAATTAACAGGATTCCCCATATGTTCGTATATGTTCTGGGTTTTTGTCTTCCCCCCCACTTCCCATCATATCCCACATTTTCAAGGGAATCGACGATTAATCGAGTCTGTGTTTTTGTTTCCCTCCTGAATCATGTTGGCGCTCTTGGGTGACGCTGCCCCGCGGGGGCCCCCGCCTTCAGGTGCGCCTCGAGGTCCGAGGCGGACATCTGCAGCCCGCCGGCCAGCAGCCAGCCCCGCAGCTCCGGCCCGTGCGCGAGCTGCGCGGGCCGTGTCGCCAGCTGCGCCGGCCGCGCCGGCTGCAGCGGCTCGCGAGCTCCTGCGACCAGCACGGCAGAGAGTAGGGAAACAAAAAGTAACATATATTTCTCGGATCGGCGCTGGACCCTCCTCCCTGGCGCGCGGAGTGCGCCAGGGGCGGCGCCGGAGGCGCCGCCGGGGGGCCCCAGCGCCGATCCGAGAAATCCGCGCGGACCTCCGAGTTTTTATGTTTATGCCAATTTTGTCCCTTATGGAGGGACCGAGGGTAAACGGTCCCAGACCCAAGACGGTCTTGCAAACGCGATGGCCGTTTTCATCCACCGTGTTCCGAAGCGGCGTTTCCTTTCCTCGGGGGCGGCGAAAAGGGGGGCCTCCAAGAGGGGGGGGGGCGCAAAGCATGGCCGCCAGCACGTGTGCGGCCTTGGGAGGGGGCCAGGGACGCACGTAATGAAATAGGAAAAGGCGCCAGGACATCCACCGCACCTCTGGTCATCACCCCCCTCTTTTGACCGCCCCCGACTTCCGTTTCAAGCGCGCCGTTCTCGTTGTGTGCTCGAGTCCCGGATCGGCCCGTGGCCCACCCGGTCGTGCTCTTGCACGAACTCCGTGCGTTTCTACTTCGCTTGTGCGCATCACGATGTACCGCCTGCCTTGAAGGGGCCCTTGGACACACAAATACATACACACAAAAAAAGGATTCCCCATATGTTATCATACCTATACGACCACCCTGAAGGTGATAAAGAGGATGGGGGGGTGGTGCCAGCCATGGGCAACAGTGCTGATTGTTGTGTTGACGTTGCCAGTCCATCTCAGTATCGATCATCCTATCGATCTCACTATCGTTCTCACGATCGGTCTCATCGATCTAACTATCGATATCATTATCGATATCACTATCGATCTCAGCACGTGAAATCACGGGACACCGACGGGACACCGGTGGGACACCGACGGGACACAATCGATCTCACTGTCGATCTCACTATCCATCCCACTATCGATCCCACTATCGATCTCGCTATCGATCTCACTATCGATCTGGCTTTCGATCTCACTATTCATCTCACTATCGATTCCACTATCGATCTCGCTATCGTTCCCACTCGATCGATCTCACTATCGATCACAGTATCGATCTCACTATCGATATCACGATCGGCCTCACTATAGATATCACTATCGATCTCTCACTATAGATCTCACTATCGACCTCACTATCGGTCTCAGTATCGATCTCACTATCGATCTCACTATTGATCTCACTGTCGATCTCACCACGGGACACCACGGGACAACGACGGGACATTGGCAGAACACCAGCGGGACGCCGGCGGGACACCGGCGGGACACCGCGCGCCACCGGTTGCCGGGCGGAGAACCTTTTGGTCTGGCCTCGGCCCAGCCACGACGGGACACCGGCGGGACACCAGCGGGACACCAGCGGGACACCAGCGGGACACCGCGCGCCACCGGTTGCCGGGCGGAGAATTTTTTGGTCCAGCCGCGGCCCAGAATTTCCTCTCCCGCCCACGCAGCTTCGCCTCGCCCGCACACACAGCACGAACACGAAACCGAAATCGATTTCCCGGTAGGGGGGCTTTCCGTTCCACTTCGATCTCACCTCCCATCCTCAGATTTTCTGGGTTTTCGTCTTCCCCCCCACTTCCCATCTGTTCCCATACTTTCCTTGGGATCGACGATGAATTGTGTCTGTGTGATTTTTTCCCCTCCTGATGCCTGACGTGCACATTCCAGGGCGTCGTTCTAAAATGCTCGGCCGGGTGAACAAGGAAAGTGGGAAACCGGGGGAAGGACAACAGATCCCCAGCGCTCTTCAGAGCACGACTGCCCAGCAAGCCACTCCAACTTGGCCCGAAGTCGCCGTCGAGCCTGCCACTGTCCCATGGGAGGAGCGTTCGGACCGAGAACACACGGTGAACCCGTACACCCCCCGACCCGGGATCTAGGGGGCGTCTGGGACATTCGGGTTTGGTCGAGGCGCAAGGAGGAGGAGGCATAGGAGGAGGAGGAGGAGCAGGAGGAGGCGGAGGAGGCGAAGGAGGAGAAGACGGAGGAGGAGAAGACGAAGGAGGAGGAGGAGGAGGAGGAGGAGGAGGAGGAGGAGGGGGAGAAGGAGGAGAAGGAGGAGGAGGAGGAGGAGGAGAGGAGGAGGGAGGATGGGGAAGAAGGAGGAGGAGGTGGAGGAGGTAGAGGTGGGAGAGGAGGGGGGGAGAGAGAGGGGGAGGGGGAGGAGGAGGAGGAGGAGGAGGAGGAGGAGGAGGAAGGAGGAAGCAGAGGTGGAATGCAATGAAGTTTGGCACGTAGCGAATCTGAGCCTCTGACCTCCTCCCGTGGTGAAGCAGCTCTTTCGCGCTGCAGCGCGGCACGAGGCCGTCCGCGACGCGCGCCCTCGCGCGGACGGGAGCCCGACGACCTCGGTGCGGCCGAAGCGTGCGGGAAAGCCGTTAACTCAGGGGACGCGGTAAACGCCCAACCCCTGACGGGCGAAGAACGGTGTAAAATAAACTTTTCCGCTGAAGGGGGCGCCTGTCCCAGGGCGGCTGGAAAGTGTATACCCTTACGGTGGCACCGTAGGGGTGTAAACTTTCCAGCCGCCCAGGGGCAGGTGTCTCCGACGGCGGAAAGTTTCTTGTATACCGTTCTTCGCTCGCTGAAATCCTGAGATCCGCTCCAGCTCCGTCCCTCGACCCTCGCGGGGTCCATCCCGGCCGCGTCTTCTCTACGGCCCGACTTCTGACGGCGACGACGGGGAAGAGCAGGAGAAGACCACGACGACGACGACGACGGCGATGGCGACGGCGACCGCGGCGACGGCGACGGCGGCGACGCCGTCGGCGATGGCGACGGCGTCGGCGACGGCTTCGGCTTCGGCTTCGGCTTCGCCTTCGGCGACGGCGACGACGGCGACGGCGACGGCGACGGCGACGGCAGCGACGACGACGACGACGACGACGACGACGACGAAGACGACAGCGGCGACAGCGGCGACAGCGGCGACAGCGGCGGCGGCGGCGGCGGCGACGACAACGACGGCGGCGACAACGACGGCGAGGTCCTGCCGGGCTGCACTGCGGCGCCATCTGCGCGAATGAGCACCTCGAGAGGGGAGGGGGGGGCACTCTGCACGGCGCGCCATGCTCAAGAGCAGGGGCGCCGTGGTCCTCCCACCCCCAAAGTCCCTCCTCCGCATCCTCCTTCACCCTTTCCTCCTTCCCCCCCCTCCTCCCCCCTCTCCTCCTCGTCCGTCCCCTTCCTCCCCGCTGGTGAAGGGTGGCAGGGGCTGGTCCCTCCTCCTCCTCGACCTCATCCTACTCCTCTTCGTACTTCTCTTCCTCTTCCTTCTCCTTTCTTCTCCTCGTCTTCCTCCGTCTCCTCCTAGTTCTCCTCCTCCTCCTCCTCCTCCTTCTCCTCATCCTCCTCCTCCTCCTATCCCCCCTGCTCCCCCGCCTGCTCCCTCCCTTCTTCCCTCCCGTCCCCCTCCCAAAACCCCCAACGTCATGATTTTTGAGATGACGTCGACCACCGAATGTCTGGACCCAACCCCTGGACGGGTTGCTCGTTCCGAGTCGTTTGTTCACGGTCCCGAAGCCAGGCAAAAGGGCCTCCAGAGGCCGCAAGAACGCGTCGCACCTCCCATCGTGATTTGTTGTTCGTGCCTCGCGCCCCCCCGCCCCTGCCCCGCCCCTCCCCTCCTCCACCCCCCCTGTCCCCCGCTGCCCGGCGAGGGGAGTGGTGGGGAGGGGGGGGGGCACAGCAAGACATGGGGCGGCCGCCGGCATTCCCCAAACAGCGCTTGTGCCTGGGGCTTCCTATTTCTTTTCTATACAGAGCTCGGCTGGTGTGGCGATCTGGCGGCTGTGCTGTGGCCGTCGCGGCCCGTCGTCTAAACCGGTGCGGCGGACTGGCGGCCATGTTGTCGCCGCCTGCGCCCCGCCGCCGCTTCGTCGCCGCAGGTCGTCTGGGCCAGCGTGGCGGTCTGGCGGCTATGTTGTCGCCGTCGCCGCCCCGTTGCTGCCTCGTCGCCGCCCGTCGTCTGGGCCTCTCTTTCGGTCGCGGCGCTGGTTGCAGCCGTCGCCGCCCCATCGCTTCTCCACAAAGATTGACATATAGCCATGCAACACACATGATAATCCAAATGGAATGATAACGTCCGGGGTCCGGGGGGGATAGCACTGGTTTGCCCTGCTTCTCGCCTGTACGAGTGTACGGTGTACGAATGTACGGCGTTCGGAGAGCTGCCGTCGTCGTAGTAGTAGTAGTAGTAGTAGTAGTAGTCGTAGTCGTAGTCGTAGTAGTAGTAGTAGTAGTAGTAGTAGTAGTAGTAGTAGTGGTGGTGGTAGTAGTAGTAGTAGTAGTAGTAGTAGTAGTAGTAGTAGTAGTAATAGTAGTAGTAGTAGTAAAAATAGTCGAATTATTAGTATTATTATTATTATTAGTAGTAGTAGTAGTAGTAGTAGTAGTAGTAGTAGTAGTAGTAGTAGTAGTAGTAGTAGTAATAGTAGGTCGTAGTCGTAATCGTGGAAATAGTAGTAGTCGTAGTAGTTGTAATAGTAGTAGTCAAGGTAGTAGGGAGTCGTAGTAGTACTAGTACTACTACTACAATAGTAATAGTAGTAGTCCTAGTAAGACTAAGGGCGTTCGTGGTAGTACCAGTCTTCCCAGTCGTGATAGTAGACGTAAGAGTAGTAGTAGTATCTGTAGTAGTAGTAGTAATAGTAATAGTCAGTGTAATCGTGGTGGTAGTGGTAATAGCATTCGTGGGAGGGGTCGTTCTAGTAAGAAATAATAGTAGTAGTCGTAATCGTAGTAGTTGTCGTAAAAATAATAAAAGCAATCGTCGTGATAGTAGTGATAATAGTAGTCGTCGTAGTCGTCGTAGTAGTAGTAATTGTAATAGTGATGGTCATAACGATAGAAATGCGAATCGCAAAGGAGGAGCAGTAAGGGAAGTAGTAGTAGTAGTAAATGTCGTAGCCGTAGTAGTCGTAGTACTGGTGGTAGTAGTAATAGTAGTAGTAGTAGTCGTAGTAGTAGGAGAAGTAGTAGTAGTAGTCGTAGTAGTAGTAGTAGTAGTAGTAGTAGTAGTAATAGTAGTAGTAGTAGTAGTAGTAATAGTAGTACTAGTAGTAGTACTAGTATGAGTAACAATATTCGTAGACGTCGTATTGGTAGTAGTAAACAGAAACAAGGTAACACAAACAACAGTAGTAGAAATAGTCGTACAAAGAGTAGTAGACGCGGTAGTAGAGGCATGGGTAACCGTAGTACTAGACGTCGCAGTGGTAGCAGTCAAATAAGCCAAATAATACGAATAGCAATCGTAGATATGAAAGCAGTGGTAGTAATCTGGCAACGATACTAGTAGTAGTCGTGGACATATCAATGATATGAGGCTTAGTCGCAGTAGTACTGGTAGTAAGTAGCACTAGTAGTACTCGCCGTGGTGGTGGTCATAAACTAGTCGTGGTCGTCGCAGCCGTGGTTGTAGTAGTCGTAATCGTAGTAGTACTAGTAGTAGTAGTAGTAGTAGTAGTGGTAGTAGTAGTAGTAGTAGTAGTAGTAGTAGTAGTAGTCGTAGTAGTAGTAATATTAATAGTAGTAGTAGTACTAGTAGTAGTAGTAGTAGTAGTAGTAGTAGTAGTAGTAGTAGCAGTAGTAGTAGTAGTAGTAGTAGTAGTAGTAGTAGTAGTACGACTATTGCCAGTACTAGTCGTAGTAGCACTTGAGGATGGAGGAGGGAGGTCGGAGAAAGGGAGTTCGGAAGAACGCTTCGGACCTTCCAAGTTCTCAAGGACCAGATCGAATTGCGCAGGACGGTATTCAGGTGCTCTTGTGGGGAAGCTCATTCTTGACGATCTTCCGAATGCAATGGGCATGCCAGGTATAAAAAATCGCCCGTGAGGGAACCTACAGGATGAACTAGCCTTAGCACCTTAGTAGCATCAGCAGTGATAGTATCGATAGGAGTAGCAGTAGGAGTAGTAGTAGAAGGATCAGAAAACAACCTTACTAGTTGTAGGAATAATGAACGTAATCGCAGGAATGCAAATAATAATCGTAATCGTAGTAGTAGTAGTAGTAGTAGTAGTAGTAGTAGTAGTAGTCGTAGCAGTAGTAGTAGTAGTAGTAGTAGTAGTAGTAGTAGTAGCAGTAGCAGCAGTAGTAGTAAGCAGTAGTAGAGATAGTAGCTGGAGTAGCTGTAGTAGTGGTAGTTAACGTAGTAGCAGTAGTAGTAGTAGTAGTAGTAGTAGTACCGGCAGTAGTAATAGCAGCTGCAGTAAGTAGTGGCAGAAGTGTGCGCATAGCAGCAGTAATGGTTGGATGTGTTGCTAGTAGTCGTAGGAATCGAAAGTGGCGGTGTTCACAATAGTAGGAGTAGCTGTCGTAGTAGTGCTAGAAGTAGCAGTAGTGCTAGAAATTCTACTAGAACGGTTGATGGAACTTGTAGTCGTAGTAGTAGTAGTAGTAGTAGTTGTTGTTGTAGTCGTAGTCGTAGTCGTAGTCGTAGTCGTAGTCGTAGTCGTAGTAGTAGTAGTAGTAGTAGTAGTAGTAGTAGTAGTAGTAGTAGTAGTAGTAGTAGTAGTAGTAGTAGTAGTATTAGTGGCAGTAGTAGTGCGAGTAATAGTAGTAGAAGTGGTACTAGCAGTCGTAGTCGCCGTGGTAGTGATAGTACTCGTAGAGATCATATGAGTAAGGCTAGTAGTAGGAATCATGGTGATACTAGTCGCCGAAGTGGTGACGGTAGTACTAGTAGTGATAGCAATGGTCGCATTAGTCGTAATGGTAAGAATACGAATAATTACACAATTCTTCGCAGTAGTCGCAGTAGTAGCGGTATAGTAATAATGATAATGGTGGTAGCCGTGGTAACCGTCTTTGTAAGACGATGAGCAATAATCGTGGACGTAGTCGTAGTAACAGAAGTTGTACATGCAGTAGCGGTAATACGAATAATAGTCGTAGTAGTCATATTAATACTAGCCGTAGTGGTATAAATTGTAGTAATAATGGTACTGGTAGTAGAAATGAAATTAATACTAGTAGTAACAGTGGACACCGTAGTCGTACTAGTGGTTGTTATGAACGCAATTGGGGTAGTCGGATGTAGGAGGTATAGTACGCTACCCAACACAAGAAGATGGCAACTCCGAATCGTAATTTCCAATGGGGTAATGAAAATCTGCCTCAACACCACTCTCCCCCGACCAACTCCGTCTTGGCCCAGAATAACCACCTCTCTAGCGTTTAGGGTGGGTATGCTTCATTATCCGGCGCACGGTGCTGTTGCACAGCATGAATTGCACAACAGATTTTGCCCCTCAAAGATCGCATCACGTCGACTGCACAACCTGGGTTGAACAAAATTCTGGAGTCCCGAAACGGTGCGGTGACGGACCGTGCGGTGACCTCGAAATCCCCCCAGACCTCACCGCACGGTCCGTCGCCGCACGGTCTTGGGGCCCTGGAGGCCCCCGTCGCCCGAGACGAGATATCCTCGCAGGACGACCCGGGTCCCAAAACCGCGCGGTGACCCCGAATCCCCACCGCCTCACCGCACGGTGTGGTCACCGCCCCTTTTTTACCAGCCTGGAACATCTCCCTATTCCTATGCTGGACATCCCCTCATCACGATGCCAATCTTAGGGGTTCCCTTATCTTTTGAGGCCGCATCCCTAAGATCGTCATCGCTTTTTGGCATGTCAATCTTTGGGATAGGGATCTGTTCGAGGCTGGTAACTTTTGGGTGCCCCCGAAAAATGGGTTGCACGCAGCCTTGGGCCCGGTGCGAAGCAGACTGCAGCGCCCGGCTCCTCTGGGAGCGCCGATCTCCCCAGAGGGACCCCCCGCGGGGCGGCAGCGCGGAGGCCACCTGGCAGGAGAGAGGCGGGCTCGGGGGGAAACGGGTCCTGGCCCCCGGGGCCCTCCCAAGGAGGAGGAGGAGGAGGAGGAGGAGCAGGAGGAGGAGCAGGAGAAGGAGGAGGAGGAGGAGGAGGAGGAGGAGGAGGAGCAGGAGGAGCAGGAGGAAGAGGCCTGACCTCCTCCTCCTCCTCAGCCTCCTCCTCCTCCTCCTCCTCCTCCTCCTCCGCCTCCTCCTCGTCCATTCTGCGGGGCCTACACCAGCTCCTCACTCTGAGTCGCTGTCTGACAGTCCTCGGCCTGTGGAAGGCTCGCCCGATCCAATCACTAGGCCTCCTGGATGCCTGGACGGGGTCCGAGTAGATGGTGTGTGTGTGTGAAGACCGCCCCGCATCGGCGACAAGCGATGCTTCCCCGGTGCATCGGCGCCGAGGGCGTGGACAAAAGCCTGGCTCCTCATCGAGCCGCATCGCCGATGCATCGGCGATGCGGCGCGGTCCTCTGCCCCCGCACTTACCCCGACCCCATCTGGGAGGCCTGGAGTGGAAGGCTCGAAGCCACAGGCGCCGAAACGCCTCAGGACGCGTTTTTCCTCCAGGACCCGTTTCTGCATCGCGGAGTCGGCTGCACGACCGCTGGTGCGCGACTTTCGGGGGGCAGCGGAGAGGGGGGGGGATGGGGGCCACTCCAGGCGTGCAAGCCGCTTCAAGCCACTGCTGGGGGGTGATCCCTATGTGGGCCCGCACCGGGGTCACCCCGGCGAAACCTCCCTCCCCAGACATCGCGCGCTCCAATTTGTTCGATGCGTGGACCCCTGGAGAACTGGACCACTTCCCTGGGGCCCGCTCTCGTCCCGAGTCGTTAGCTGGCGGTCCTGGGGCCCGAGAGGCTGAAAACGGCCAAACGCCAGTCCGCTCCGACCTTTCCGAGCCTCGCATCTCTCGGAAGGTCACTCTGGCGAAGGGCCACGCCTCCATTATGGATAGGGTCGGAGTAGATGGGGTTGGAAGATCGCGCCGCATCGGCGATGTATCAGCGACACATCGCCGATTCATCAGCGATGCATCGGCGACGTCGGCGAAGCATCGGCGCCATCGGCTTGGAGAAAATCGGGCTCCGCATCGAGCCGCATCGCCGATGCATCGGTGATGCGGCGCGATCCTCCGACCCCATCTACTCCGACCCCATCTGGGAGGCCCGACGGAGGCCTGCGGCGTGAGTCGAACGTTCGCGCGGCGATGCTCCGACGCAAGCCCGACGGTAAACCCGACGTTACCCCGACGACGCAATCCCACGTGAGCCCGGCGTAAATCATCTGGCAGGGATACGACGTCAATTGGGCCTCAACGTGCACCGCGAGGCCTCCGGGGCCAGAAAAATGTTATTTGGCTCTTCCTCGTGACCGTCTCCCTCAGGACCCGTCTCCAGACTCCCGACGCCATAATGTTTTCATGGCGTCGACCCCCAGATGTCTCGACCCCTTCCACGGGACCGGTTTCTCATCCCGAGTCGTTGTTTCACGGTCCAGAGGCCTGGCGAGGGCCCCCGACGCCGAAAATAGTGAAAAACCTCAAAGGCAGGAGGAGGAGGAGGAGGAGGAGGAGGAGGAGGGGGAGGAGGAGGAGGAGGAGGAGGAGGAGGAGGAGGAGGAGGAGGAGGAGCAGCAGGAGGAGCAGGAGGAGGAGGAGGGAGGAGGAGGGAGGGAGGAGGAGAGGAGGAGCAGGAGGAGAAGGAGCAGGAGGATGAGGAGGAGGAGGAGGAGGAGCAGGAGGAGGAACAGGAGCAGGAAGAGGAGGAGGAGGAGGAGGAGGAGGAGGAGGAGGAGGAGGAGGAGGAGGAGGATGAGGAGCAGGAGAAGGAGCAGGAGGAGGAGGAGGAAGCGGAGGAGGAGGAGCAGGAGGAGGACGAGGAGGAGCAGGAGGAGGAGGAGCAGGAGGAGGAGCAGGAGAAATAGGAGCAGGAGGAGGAGGAGGAGCAGGAGGAGGAGGAGCAGGAGGAAGAACGACTGCTTCCTGGCTCGATAGGGGGCCCGGGGGCCCCCCGCTGCCCGCCGAAACGCCCTGTGCCCCCCCCCCCGCCGGCCGCTAGAGGGCACCTGCCGGCCGCCACTGGCGAGGTGCTGAAGAGCTGCGGCGGCGCGGCGCCTCGGCTCCGCCGGCGATCTGCCGAGGCGGCGAGCGGATCGCTCGGCGGCGCGCCCCCGGAGAAGCGAGTTTGCGGCTATCTATCAAGTCCCTCCTGCGGTAAGACCTGTCCGACTTACCTTTTTTTGGGGGAGGGGATTGAGCAGGGACCGACCGTCCCGGCATTCCTATAGTCCAACCACGAAATTTTCTGAGCACCCAAAAACTATTCTCAGAACAAAACAGTGCTCTTAGAGCATAAACCCGATGTGATAGAACAAGACGATCCCAGCCAGACATGTTCTACGAACATTTCGTGGAAACCACAAAAGGTTCAAAGAACATTGTTTGGCAGGGGGCTATAGGCGAACCAAGACGCTTCGCCACTGCTTGAGGGGAGGCGGCCTTCTGACAGGGCAAGGGGCTGCCCGGGGCCCGAAGGACCTCTCGAGGGATCTGCCGAGGCGGCGAGCGGATCTCTCGGCGGCGCGCCCCAGGGGGAGGCGAGGAGGGGCGGGCGCCTTCCCGGAGGGCTCGGAGGTCTCCCGGCGTTCGGCGAGGTGTCTTCAAGCCTGCCCCTTAGGAGGCAACTACTGGGAGGTCTTCGCCGGAAGGATTGAGGAGGATTATAAGCCCCATTGGGGGGCTGTTACGCCGGAGTGGGCCTCGGACTAAGCAGGATTGAGCCGGATTGAGCGGGATTAAGCCGGACTTCGGACCAGGGCAAAATCAGAATTTGACCTTCCAGGAGTTGCATCCGAATTCCCCGAAGACACAGAGCACTACACTTAGGTCGGGCGTGTCCCCCTACAAGGGGGATTTTTGGACGGAAAATAAAAAAGAGCCAAAACATATGCAAAAAATGCCCCAAAATATTGAAAACATCGTCCCCTGACTATTTTTTGACTAGTTTTGAATATCCCCCCTGTAGAGGGACAAGCCGGATTTAACACTCATTACTCAGAGGGCGCGAGGGCTCCTGCGGAGCCCCGCCGCCTTCTGATAAGGACTCCTCCTCTTTTACCTTCCCTCCCTCGCTCGCCGCCGAGGAACCCCTCGAGGGATCTCAGAAGCGGCGGACATATCCATACCCACGCCTACGGAGTCTGGGTTCCAAGGCGCGATCCCGCAGATACGCGGTCGCATGGATACGTTTCGCGCGGGGTTTCCAACAGGAAACTTCTTGAGAACGATCCCCAAGTCTCCCGAAGATGTGACTTGTGCTCGATCAATCCTGGCGTTTTGTCCACGTGTTCGGCCTCTGGGGGTCGTTACTGGTCTCAGGGGGGCAACAAAACTGGACCCGCATGCGAAACACTTCCCCCGTGGGAGGGATCGGGACCCCCGGGGCCGCGCTTCGAACAAACATCGCATCGTCGGACGTCTACGTGGATGGCTTCGACGAGGTCTCCTCGACAGGCGGGAGGCGGAGCTGGCCGAAGGCCAACCGAGAACATACGTCCACGGGGGGTGATGGCAACTCCGCTCCAATCCCCCGACCGCTCTGGGGTCCCATCGGATATGCAGCTTTTTTCACCCATGACCCGTGTCTGCTGGCCCCGGGCCTGAACGCCGCCCCCAGAGACCGAAGAGGGCAGAACAAGCCTCCTCCTCGTACCCAGAGCCTCGAACCTCGCCGCCCCCCCCCCAACCCTGCTCACCAGAAACAACGCAGACCACCGGATGGCTCCAAGGCGGGAAGGCTTCTGAGGAACTCGATGACCCTCAGAACCTGTGCTAGCTGTAGCGTGCTTGTCCACCAGAAACGACAGAAACAACGCCTGGGCATCGCTCAGACGTCCATTCCCTGTGCTCTTTTCGGTTTCGTGCGTGGTTTCTTCGCCAAATGGTCAAGGATGCTCCTCGATGGTCCTCGCCGAGGGAAAAATGCACACGTCCGAGCGACGCCGAGACGCAGACCACCAGGTGGCTCCAAGGCGGGAAGGCTTCCGAGGCACTTGATGGCCCGCAGAACGTGGGCGCTAGCTGTGGCGTGTGCTCGTCCACCGAAGCCCATCAAGACGACGCAGGCGGGCTAGCGAGGGCCAGCACGGGCTGCATGCAGCTGGCAGAACTGAACGCGGTAACACACACTCACACACATACACACACATGTACATATGTATATATAAAAAATATCGATGGCAAGATCGACTACATCACCCCAAATGTGATATGTTTGTTGGCTCGATTACAAGAGCTTGGAACATTCGTAGATCTCAGAACATTCGACATACTTGTTGTCGAATCGACGGAGCATCGCGTTTTAGGTACATCGTGAATGGTATCCATCTGCTCGAACATTGGGCTAACACGCGTCCTGAGAGCATCACCAAGAAGCCCTCTAACCTTGCGACAAACCCTCCCTGGAGGCCTCCAGGCCCTTCCGGGGAAACCCCATGCCCCCTCGGGCGGCCACCGACCCCCTCGCGCCCCAAGCCCGAGCCCCCGACCCAGCGATCTCTGGCCATCGCTCGGACGTCCATTTCCTGTGTTCAGTTAGGTTTCGTGCGTGGTTTTTTCGCGAAATGATCAAGGATGCTCCTCGATGATCCTCGCCGAAGGAAGAATGCACACGTCCGAGCGATGCCAAGATATCTGCGGAACACTCCTTGGTCGGCGGCAGCGGGAGATCCCGACGGCGGCAACGCGGCGGCGGCACGCGCCGGAGCACAGCAGGAAGCACAAGAAAAGGACGCGGGGAGGACGCGCGGGGGACGCGGCAGGGAGGCACCCTCGCACGACGGCAGTGGAGCAACGGCATGCGAGCATCATCTGTCGAAGGCCCGCGCCGAGGTCTGGGATCGGCGCTGCAGCCCCCTGGCGGCGCCGCCGGCGCCGATGCAGGGAAACGGCGCGGACCTCCGAATGGTAATGCCTATGGCTTGTGTTGCTATGGTCGGCATGCAGTAGGGGCTCGACCACAAGAGACCTTCCACACGAAACCCCACCCTGAGACCACAGGATGTCCATTGATTTCTGGTGCGGGATCGTCGCGCTCTCCATCGCGAAACCGTCGAAGCCCAAGAAACCAAGGGCACCCTGGAGGCGAGCAGGGTGCTTCTTGGCATGGGCCCCCACTGCATTCGAGGCATGACCCGGAACTCCGACGCCGTGTTTTTGACATTTTCTCGCGGGGCCCACCCAAGAGGCCTGTAGACGCCTTGCCCCCGGGGACCCGCCACTCATCCTGCATCGCCTCTCGACGGCCCACCCCCCGGGCCACGCCACGACTTGGACGCCCGCAATGGGTACGGAAAAAATGGGTACAATGCCCAACAACAAATGTTGCCCCAAACCAGCAGCGCCCGCTGTTGGGCAGGCGGCCTTCTGTCTCAAATGGGCACAGGCCGCGGCGGCGCGGACAGCGAGTCCTGCCCGAAATGAAGAAGAACGGCTGCCGGTCCTTGTGCCCAGTCTTTCCGTGCCCATGCCGGTCGTCCCGAGCTCATCCTGCATCGCCTCTCGACGGCCCCCCCCCGGGCCACGCCACGATTTGGACGCCCGAACTGGGTACGGAAAAATTGGTACAATGCCCAACAACAAATGTTGGAAGGTGCGCCGCTGGATAACCCCATGGGGGGGGGTTGGGACCCCCCCCCTTTCCTCGATCCGTCTTCGAGGGCCCCTCCCCCCCGGCCACGCCACAAGGCCCTCCCCCCCAGAGGCGGCCGCAGACCCTGCCCGCGAGACCCCGCCGCGTCTGCGAGGCCCGCGCGGCCCGGCTCGAGCCCGCCGCGGCCCGTCCCGGGCCCCTCGTTGGAGGGCGGCGGCCCGCGGCAGCTGTCTGAGCCCGCGGCCGGCGCCGGCGTGCCTCGACGGGCTGATGCACGGGCTGATCGGCACCGTGCTGGGGGCGCCGCTGGCTCTTCACGAGGGCGACGGCGACGGCACGAGAAATCGAGGACGAGGAGGGCGCAGGCCAGGCAGGAGGAGCAAGAGCGCGCGAGCAGCACCTCGGGGCCGCCCTGGCTCTGACGGCGCTGCTCGGGGATGCTGGGCTCCGGCTGTGCTCTTGGTTCGCCTTCGCCTCGCGAGGCGCAGACCCAGCAGCTGGCCCTCGAGGTCTGCCCGGAGGCGTGGCCGATGACGATTCGGGCCTGCGGCCGCGACGGCCGCATGTCCAGGAAGGGGCCAGGCCCTCCGGGGGGGCCCTCTGGGGAGGCCCAAGAAGAAGAAGGCCGGCATTGGCCGACTCCTGGCCGCCTTGCTGGCCCTTGGCCTGTCGAGTGGTCGCAGCGGCCCAGGAGCAGCCAGGCAGACGATCCAGAGGCCGAGCGAAGACGCGGCCATCGTCGGCGAAGTCTTGGCCATGTCGGGCGGGCTCTTGGCCCGTGGCCTCTGTGACACGCGCGGGCTCCGCGAAGTGGTGTGTCGCAGCCCGTCGGTGTGACACTTAACCTTCCCCTCTGCCACCCGCCCCTGCGGACGCGTGCCGCGAGGAGGGAGGGCCGCACCACAGTTGCGGAGCTGTGGATTGGCCGGGCCGGGCCGGAGGGCGAGACGGCGCGGCAGCCGAGCGCCCGCAGAGCAGGGCTGCGACACAGGAGCCTTCGACACCACGGGGCTCGAGATCGTCAGTGGTCGGTGCGTGGGGCTTCTTGGCCTCCAGCGGAGTCCCCGGGGCCCCAGGGGCAACGAGATAGACCCTCCATAGATCCTCGGACGGCCCCCGCTGCTCGGCTGCCGTGCCCTGCGGGGGGAGGAGGAGGAGGAGGAGGAGGAGGAGGAGGAGGAGGAGGAGGAGGAGGAGGAGGAGGAGGAGGAGGAGGAGGAGAGAGGAGGAGGAGGAGGAGGAGGAGGAGGAGGAGGAGGAGGAGGAGGAAGGAGGAGGAGAGGAGGAGGAGGAGGAGGGAGGAGGAGGAGGAGGAGGGGGAGGAGGGGGAGGAGGAGGAGGAGGAGGAGGAAGAAAAGAAACGGGCGGCCCCCGTCTCAGCCAAACTCTCTACGCGTGGCGTCGGCAGCAACAACAACAATAAGTTTAAGACCTTTCGCCCTTATATGCTCGAGTGTCCAATAACGTGTATTTCCCAAACCCTCGATACCCGCCCTCTTCGTCTTCGATCGAACCCCTTTGGGGGGTATACCTTTCTCCCCTGCAGGCCGGGCCCCGGCAAGCGGCGGGGCGGCCGCGGACTGTCGGCATGGCCAGCGGCAGCGCTGATCGGCGGGGCGGCCGCGGACCGTCGACCCGACCCCAAGAGGAACGGACAGGGGACCGACCACGACGACGACGACGACGAAGGGCGACAGCGGGGACAGGAAGGGAATGCGTATGTGGCCACGAAGAGCGCGAACGAGCGGGGGGCACGAAGTGCAGATAATGCGGGGCCACAGAAGGCAACTATGGGGCCACTGAGGGTAGCAACTGGGCCACGTAGGACAGTGAGGGGGACACAAATGGCGACAGCGGGGCAACGGAGGGCATGCACATGGGGCCACAACGGGCGCGACTCCTGGGTGCCTGGGTGTCGGGAGCGCGGCGCTTAGGAAATTCCAACGCAAGGCTATCCTTCAGTAAGTTGCAAGCAAGTCTCCAGCGAGCGACTCCAGAGCGCCGGGAGAGCGATTCCTGAATAAATTGTGAGGAAGTCCACAGCGAGAGCGCGATTCCTGAAGAAAATGCGACAAAGTCTCGGGCGGGAGCGGGGGTCATGGCTAAATCGTAAGGAAGTCTCAAGCGGGAGCCGTTGTTGTTGTAACCCGGGGGCCAGGGGGCCAGTTTGAGCAGGAAGACTTCCCCTGTCAAAAAACAGGGTGCGAGCGTCGAGGGGCACACTTTGATTGAGAAGAAGCCATATGCACAGGTGGGGGGATCAACAACAATTATTCTTCAGAAGTGAGAACTCAACCACCACCACCACCACCACCACCACAACAACAACAACAACAACAACAACAACAACAACAACAACGACAACGACAACGACAACGACAACAACAACAACAACATCATCATCATCATCATCAACAACAACAACACCAACACCAACACCAACACCAACACCAACACCACCAACAACAACAACATCAACAGGAAGAACCACATCAGCCACACCAGCAACAACGCCACAGCAACAATTACAACCATATCAATACTATCAGCAGCAGCAACAGCAGTTACAACAACAATCGCATCAACGACAACAACAACATCAACAGCATCAACAGGAGGAACCACATCAACAACAACAACGCCACAGCAACAACTACAACCACATAAACGATAGCAGCAGCAGCAGCAGCCGCAGCAGCAGTTACAACAACAACCACAACCACGACAACGACAACAACAACATTAGTATCAACAACAACACCAACAACAATCACTTTCAAATTGTTCACCCTTATCTGCTCGGGTGTCCAATAACGCGTATTGACCAAACCCTCAATACCCGCCCTCTTCGTCTTCGATCGAACCCCTTTTGGGGGGTATACCTTTCTTCCCTGCAGGCCGGGCCCCGGCAAGCGGCGGGGCGGCCGCGGACTGTCGGCATGGCCAGCGGCAGCGCTGATCGGCGGCGGGGCGGCCGCGGACCGTCGACCCGACCCCAAGCGGGACGGACAGGGGACCGACCACGACGACGACGACGACTTCGACGACGACGGCGACGACGACGACGGCGACGACGAGCGAAAGCGAGAGCGAGAGAGAGCGACAGCAAGGCCACGAAGGACACGAAGTAGGCCACGAAGGGCGACAGCGGGGACACGAAGGGAATGCGTATGGGGCCCCGAAGGGCGCGAACGAGCGGGGGCCACGAAGGGCAGATAATGCGGGGCCGCACAAGGCAACGACGGGGCCACTGAGGGTAGCAACTGGGCCACGTAGGACAGTGACGGGGTCACAAGCGGCGACAGCGGGGCCACGAAGCGCATGCACGTGGAGCCACAACGGGCGCGATTCCTGGGTGCCTGGGTGTCGGGAGCGCGGCGCTTGAGCAAAGTTGCAAAAAAATCCAACGCAAGGGCGCTATTCTTCAGTAAATCGCACGCAAGTCTCAAGCGAGAGCGCGACTCCAGAGCGCTGGGAGGGCGATTCCTGAACAAATTGTGAAGAAGTCCAAAGCGAGAGCGCTACTCCTGAAGAAAATGCGAGGAAGTCTCGGGCGGGAGCGGGGGTCGTGTCTAAAGTGTGAGGAAATCTGAGGCGGGAGCCGTTGTTGTTGTAACCCAGAGGCCAGGGGCACAGTTTGAGCAACAAGACTTTCCCTGTCAAAAAACAGGGTGCGAGCTTCGAGTGGCACACTCGGATTAAGACAAACAATATGCACTGGTGGGGTCTTCAGAAATTAAACTTCAAGAACTACCACAACAACAGCAACAACAACAACAACAGCAGCAGCAGTAACAAAAACAACAGCAGCAACAGCGAAACACCAACAACGACAACGACAACGACAGCTACATCATCAAAATCAGCAACAACCACAACAGCAACATCAACAGACACACCTACATCAACAACAACCACAACAACTAAAACAACAACACACATAACAACACTAGCGACAACAACCACCACAATAACAACAATAACAGCAACAACAACAACAACAATAACAACATCAACGACAACAATAACAACATAAACAACAACAACAACATCACACAAACGCAAAGGCACCCTAAAACAAACCGTGAACCCTTCTTGTGGGTTCTCACTGTATCTTAACATCGGCCGGCTCCTGGCCATCTGGCCTCAGCCGCGGGGTCCAGGGCGGTCAGGCACAACCAGGCGGACCCTCCCAAGGCCGGTATATATTTGGAAATTCCGCATTCACATATATATGTACATATACACATACGCACATATATCTATAGAGAGATACGCACATCTAAGTGCGTACATGTATATGTAATACGCACACACATTTATAGAGAGAGGGAGAGAGGAAGAGAGAGAGGAAGAGAGAGAGGAAGAGAGAGACACAGGGGTCGGCATCCTTGGATGCTTGGCCATCCCTCGGGCATTTGAGGATGGGGGGCGTGGCAAGGCCAGAAGGGTGGTGGGCTGGGAGGAAGATCCGAGTACATGGTGGGAGGCCTCCCAGATGGGGTCAGAGATGATGGAATCGGAGAATCGCGCCGCATGAGCAACGCATCACCGATGCATCGGAGGCGTCGGCGATGAACGTTCGGCCCTTTCCGAAACGTCAGATTGTTCAACATCGACCGATTCCAGGTCGCTGGTGGCGTGCAGCGTTGAACGCCGGCGGCGGGGTCGCCGCCAGTCGACGCGACGCGAACCTACTATTCAGCCTTGCGCAATCGGCTGGTTCCGAAACTCGGCTACACGCACGAGCGACGCTGGACAAGAATGACCTCTGTGGTGCGCGGCCCAAGGGGGGGCCCCTTTGGGCGCACCACCACGCGCAAGCCGCTGCTTTCGTACCACCTCCAACGATCTCGAGGGGCCCCGTTGCGCCCGCGCCGAAGGTCACCCTGGCGAGAGGTCACTCCCACGTGTAGCCATGAGAAACGTCAGCCCTTTCAGCATCGACCCCGCCGGCGACACTTGGGCGGAATTCTTGGGTGGGCTTAGGCCAGGCATGTTCCCCTACAGGCGGATTGCGGATGAAAAATAAGGAATATCCTGAACATACCAAACGAATATAGCAAAAAAAATGAAAATCGTCCCCAGGCTAATTTTGTTGACTAGTCTTGAACATTCCTCCTGTAGAGGGACAGGCCCGACTTGAGGGTGGGCGATCCAATGGGGGGGGAAGAAAGGTGCCCTTTGGGGCCCCCGAGGGGCGCCCTCCGGGGCCCTGGAAGGCCCTCCCTCGGGGGCCCTGAAGGGCCCCTCCTCTGCAGCCCTCGCCCTAGTTCTTCTCTTCGTCCTGCTCCTCC